TTCTTCGACTTGGTTGAAACTGGGGGTGAACCTGGTCCTCAATTTGTTCTCCCCCCACTAGTAGCAGTAGCAGTAGCAGTAGCAGTAGCAGTAGCAGTAGCAGTAGCAGTAGCAGTAGCAGTAGCAGTAGGAGTAAAAGTAGTAGGAGTAAAAGTAGTAGTAGCAGTAGTAGTAGTAGTAGTAGTAGTAGTAGTAGTAGTGCTGCTGCTAGTATTTTTCTGTTCTAGCATCCTTACCGTTGTTTTCTTTTAAATTATAACAGTCCTCCCGTACCCCTCAGCCCTAAACCACTGAACCCTGAACCCGAATGTAGGGGCCTGAAAAAAAACCTATACTATTCTGGGGGGCTCCTTTGTATGATTATACTATAAAGGCGCCCAAAACCCTGTTCTAATTATTGAGGCCTCTACATTACCCCCTTAGCCTTCAACCCTAAACTCTAAACCCTAAACCCTAAACCCTACCCCCTTAGCCTTCAAACGCCATGTGAGGAGATCTACTGGCCTACTCGAAGCGCATCGACCTACGGCGAGCTCGATCAATCCAGCGTGGCCCGGTTGGTCGAGGCATCCTGGCGCAAAAGGTTCAGGGCTTCAGGTTTAGGGCTAAAGGCTTAGGGTTCATCAAGGGTTAAAGAGGTTCAGGTTTGGGGGTTTAGAGGGCTTGTAGGGCCAAGACACAAACAAACATACATCCGTGCATGCATGCATGTGCATCTTACTGTCTGCCGGTCTGGCGGGTGAATTTGTTTGTATACCTCTCTGTCTGTTTGTGGATGAAGACGCGCGTGTATCTGGACAAGCACTTGTGTTATTAAGTTTTCGTTTCTGTTTAGGTTAGTGGCATTGCAAAATCCGTTTCTGGCACAAGGCCTTTGACTTGCGGAAGAACTCGCAGCTCCCCGGCTCCGCCAACGCCCACCCGCCCCACATGCACAAATCTTGACAACCCTGCCTGAAGCCTTCAACCCTCAACGTCCTAAACCATACCTGAGAAGTGTACCAGCAGAATCTGCATTCCTGAGAGTGTCGGCGGCCCTCAGCCCTATAGTGATCCCAGAAAGTTGGAACATGAGTAGTTTTGGCATTTCCCTACACTTTGCGCCTTGAGGGCATGAGGAGATGCATGTTCTAACTTCTCGGATTTTACTGTACCTGTAGCCTATCATATGTTTCTTATGAAGGTCGGTTCTGGGAGCTACAGGTAAAAGGTTCCAGGAGTGTTCGGGAACCGACTGGGCCCTAGAACCGAGTGATACCAGGACCCTCCTCGTACCCTCGAACAGGGGTATATCGTCCCGAATGATGGGCATTTAGGGTCTAATAGAGGGTAGATGGAGGGTCTAGGTAGCAACCTTATGGGACATCTGTGTAGTAATCTAGTAGTACTTGCAGGTTTGTTGGTTCACTGTAAGGGTTAAGGGTGCGCCAAAAGTTGAAATCACAAACTGCAAGGCCCAGAATCAACCGTCCCCCCAAAGCCTTGCGCCTGACTTCCTAAAGCCCTACACCTGATAAACCCTATCCTACACACTGCGAAACGCAACTCGCCACCCACAAACCCAAAGCCATGACCTCAAATTTCAATCCCCGAAGCCCTAAACCCTAAAATCTAAATCCTACTAAACCCTGAGCCTTAAGCCCTAAACCCTACTAAAGCCTATAAGCCTTAAGCCCAACCCTAAACCCTAAACCCTATTCAACCCTAAGCCTTAAGCCCTAAACCCTAATCTCTAAACCCTAAGCCCTAAACCCTAAACCTTAAACCCAAAACCCCAAAACCCTAAACCCTAAACCCGAGAGTCTGTGGGCTGGGAGGATGCCAACCTCCGCCCCGGCCACTGCTTCGTGGATGTCGGAAGTGGCCTCGGGAGCCCCGCCGTTTTGAGGTAGTTTTTTTGGGGGTTTGGGGCTTAGGGGGTTGAGGGTTTAGGGGTTTGGTTGTTTTTGGGGGGTTTAGGGGGTTTATGGGTTCGTGGGTTTAGGGGTTTGGGGTTTGGGGGTTTAGGGGTTTGCGGGTTTACGGGTTTAGGGGTTTAGGGGTTTGGGGGTTTGGGGTTTAGGGTTCAGGGTTCAGGGTTCAGGGCTTTGGGGTTGCTGGATATTAGTCTAACTTAGAGTGCACTGGTGTGTGTTTAGGGTTTGGTTTTGTCACGTCATTTCGTTCCAGATCGGTCTTCTTTGGGGTTAACAGCATGTTCTCGCTTATCCCTGCGAGCTTATAGAGTTCAGTGCTTAAAGCTTGCTTGTTTAAGAAAGCTTAAGGGTCCAAGGGTTCAGAACCTGCAACGCTGACAGTACCCCCAAGACCCTAAACCCCACACCCTGAGCCATAAAAAACAACAAAACCCGGCGCTATAAAGCCTAAAACCCTAAACCCGAGATCCCTAGAAACCCTAAAGCCTTAATCCCTACAACCCTGAACCGTAGAAGAAACCCTACACCCTAAACCCTAAACCGGCGGCTGTAAACTCTGCAGCTGCTGTACCTGCATCGGACAATGGTGCAGCGGGTCATGGACTAGGGAATGGTGAAGGTGTAGTGGAAGTGGAAGCAGGACAAAACCCAGATGGTCCACGGGGCGTTGAAGGTACAGTGGATGTCGAGACCCACTCGCTCATGCAACGTATGCCAGTGCTGTCGGACCCAGAGCGAGAACGACTTGTGCAGTCGGGGTGGACGCATGATTGTGCTGGTGAACTATAGGGGCGCTACTTGATCGCATGCATGCAGGTGAACTGGGTGGTACACATTCGGATCGGGTCTGGATGCTTGGGGTGGTGCGGTCCTTGGTGCATGTTCACCAAGAGATGCTGGAAGCCTTGAGCTCGGTCCTTGACTTGCGGGCTATCGTTGTGGATGGCAATCCTGCTCCTCTACCAGCTGCCGAAGTACGAAGGATTTTTGCTGCAGACTGTGGTCGATTTCTGAGAGCGTTGCATATGGCGAATTGGAGACGGGTGGTTGACCTCATGGATGATGTGGTGCTCTACCCTGAACTCCTTCCTGTTGAGCTTCAAGGTGCTGGTAGCTCTGCGGATACACGTCCAAGTGGATCCGGGGATGTTCCATGTCATGCAGATGCAGCACGTGTACCACCTTGTGTATCTTCGGGTCCTCCAGTACTTCCTGGTGATGTGATGGCAGCTGTGCTACCTGGCGGTGATCCTTCGGCAGTTTGTCATGGTGAAGGTGAAGGTGATGCAGTTGTGGATGGGATGTCAACCTCGGAAGGTGGAGACGTTTGTGGTCTGCGGGATGTCTGTCCTCAGGCTCCTGGTTGTGCTGCTCACTCCATGCTTCGTGATCCTCATGTCATCCCTGTCGTGCCTTCCGCGTACGGTGCTGCTCATGAAGTTCCCCCTGGTCGTCCACTATCTGTATGTGATGGTGCAGCAGGTTGTGAAGTTGAGGATGTGTCAAACTTGGGCGCAATGGGTGATGGTTCTCTGTCGCTGCTGGTGTCTACTGTTGAGATGGCGAGTGACTCCTGTATGGCTAGTTCTGAGTGTAGCTTGGATGTTGCTCCTTGCGAATCTGTGCAATATGCAGGGGATGTTGAGTCGATGGCTACAGGCCAAGAGGGTGGTCCGGTACAGTCGGGATCGCAGGCAAACTGAAGTTTCACTTTTAGTGGAAGCCTACATGGCAGCGCAGTCAAAGGCGTGTCCCACTTTAAAAAAAAACTAAACCGCAGAAACCTACATCCGAAACTCCTAAACCCTAAACCCTGAACCCTGAACCCTAACCGCAGAAACCAAGATCCGAAACTCACCAACCCTAAACCCTGAACCCTGAACCCTAAACCCTAGACCGCGGAAACCTAGCTCCGAAACTCACCAACCCTGAACCCTAAACCCTGAACCCTACACCCTAAACCCTACAACAAAAAAACAAACCGCAGAAATCTAGATCCGAAACTCACTTAGGAAGCTTGTGGTCACGGTGGCCGCCATCAGCGAGGCGAAGTCTGTTGGCGTGGAGATCAGCCCATCCAGGTCCCAATGGGTTTAGGGTTTAGGGTGTAATGGGTTTAGGGTTTAGAATATATCGTGGCCTTAGTAGTTAGAATAGGGTTCGGGGGTATATTATACTGTTAGAAGAAGCCCCCAAAACCCTATTCTAATCATTGAGGCCCCTACCTTGGGGTGGGGGGTGGCTGAGGGCTGTCCAATCCCTATATTGATATGGATAGTTCTCCAAATAAGGATCCCTTCCCAGGTCCCCAAAATCTTAGTACGGCACCCTTATAAACAAAACCCCAAAAGGGACCCAAATATAGGGAATTGCCCCGTGCAGATCCCCGAAACCCAAAACTTCCGTAGACTCTACACCCTAAGCTTCCGAAAGGGTTTAGTTTTTAGGGTTCTGATCCGCCAAACCCGAAACTCCAAACCCCAAACTTCCTAAGCCCTACACCCTGAACCCAATTCATGCGAACAAGGCACGCTCTTGGCCAGCGCGGCCTTGAAACTTTGCGCCAGCGCGGCGCGCTCACTGACGCCGAGGCAGACCTCAAAGGTTTTAGGGTTTAGGACTATATAGGGTTTGATAGGATTTGGGGTTTGTTTAGGGTCAGGTGTACAGGGTTTAGGATTCAGGGATTGGGGTTCCAGGTAAGAGTATGGCATGTACTTGGACTTGGACCCCTTTGGCTTAGGACTTTGAGCTTCGCGTTTTTGGCACTTTCGGGGTTCAGGGTTGTGAGCTGAACCCAAACTGAAACCAAAGGTTGAATCGCAGGGCGTATATGTTGAAGAATCGCCTGTCCGCCCTTTTCTCAGGTTTTGCCATGCATCCGAAGACCCGAGCTACATTAGTTAGTTGTGCGGTTTAAGCTTCCGGATCAGGTTTGAGGTGGGTGCATTTGGGATAATTACGTAGCCTATTTGAGTTCAGGATTGCGTGAGGATGCACACGAAATGGCCGTAATAATTAGAATAGGGTTTTGGGGCCCTTTACATTAATTACAACAAGGAGCCCCGAAAATAGTATAGGTAGTTATTATAAGGCCCCTATATTAAAAGCTCATCCTGAACTGCAGACTCCGGAGCCCTGACCCCTGTGGCCTAAACCCTAAACCCCCTAAGCCCTAAACCCCCTAAACCCTAAACCCCTAAACCCCTAAACCCTAAACCCCCAAACCCCTAAACCCCTAAACCCAAAACCCCTAAAACCCCTAAACCCCTAAACCCCTAAACCCTAAACCCTTAAACTTAAGCCCCACACCCCGCTGGTGATTTCGGACAAGTTCGAGGAGACGATCGGTCGCCAACTCCCTTCACCCGACCTTTCAAAACCTTACCAATATTTCTGTAGGTTTAGGGTTTAGGGTTTAGGGAGGTTAGAGCTCCAAGCCAAAGATTTTAGGAAATTTAGGGCTTAGGTTACATACCTTCTTCCGTGAACGCCTACCTGTAAATATTTCGGGTATAGGGTTTAGGGCTTACAGGGTCTCTAGGTTCCGCATTTGCTTTGAAGAAAATGGCAGGCTCAGAGGGTGAAGCTTTTCTGCGCCGACTGCGGCGAAGCGCTGCCTGAGGAGGTCTACCTGTGAGATCTATGGGGTATGGGGCTTAGGGCTTCTATAGGGTTTAGGGTTTCGGGGTTGAGTAGGTGACGTTTAACAGTTTTTTTGATTATGGTAGTTTATAAAGTTCGACCATACTTTAAAAAGATTAAGCGTTTTGGGACTTCGGCTACTCATCCCCTAAGAAGCGTTGAGGGAAACTTGGCAGACAGACATCTGTCGGGTTCTGTCCATGCGCGTGAGCCATTCCGAGAAACATGTTGCATACTTCGGGATGTTGGTGTCGGTTTAGGGTTTAGGGTTTAGGGTTGTACGGTTCCGGTGTTAACACCTGGGCTTTAGTGTGCCATTCCTCTGACAGTTACCTGACTTACTAGCAGAAGTCCACAAATAAAGCATATACTAGCCGATGCCATATGTGGCTGCATTCCCAAGCTATTTCCGCAAGTTTCCCAAGCTGTCGCTGCAAGCTTTATCTCGACGGAACCGACACGCCGTCTTTGGTGCATAGTTCAGTCATCAATGGGAATGCCAACAGCAACCGACACGCCTATAGGCTCCGGCCAGCGCAACTGAGTAGAAGCTGTAAAGCGATGGCCATGTCAAGGACCAGAAAACATGCAGAGTTTGAAGGTCGAGTGAGCAACATGTTCCGTTGAGCAGCCTAGATCCCTAAACCTTCTAAGCCATCTAAGCCCAAACCCCAGTCAGGCCCTACAAGGCTAAGTCCGGTGTCACTACCAGGTTTTACAGGCCTCGCACTTCATCCTCACGATGCGCAGGCTCTGTGCTCAGACTTCAAGACAGCGGCTCTTTCCTCATAACCAAAAGAGTGATAGGGCTTCTCGTTCGGGGCTTGGGGTTAAGCGTTTACGATTTAGGGTTTGGGGTGTAGGCCAAGGGTTTTGGGGTAAACGTTTTGGAGTAGGGACCTACATTGCAGAAGGATCTGCGTGGGCGGCATTGCGGCTGCACTTTTCTCAAGATATTCCTCGGTGAAGCCGTAGGGCTCGTATGACGAGATATTCCTCGGTGAAGCCGTAGGGCTCGTATGACGAATAGTGTAACACCCCCCCCCCCCTTTTGAAACGATAGTTCTGGTGCGAAGTGATGAGCGTTAAAGTCGATGTCTGTGTGCCATGAACACAGCACATAGCCGTGCCACACGAAATTAACGAGTCGTCTATTAGTTTCTTATTCTTATGAGCAAGCGCAAGTCGTGAGTGTTGTAGGGCGACAAGCCCACTCGATGGGATGTTTTAGCAGCTACTAACGAGGTTAAGAGTCACGGGTCTGTCACGAAGCTGTAGAGCGAATTCGAATCCTGGGCCAGGTTATGTG